CTAGAGATAGATAGCTTAACGGCTGCTCACCCCGCTAAAGATAGATAGCTTAGCGGCTGCTCACCCCGCTAGAGATAGATAGCTTAGCGGCTGCTCACCCTGCTAAAGATAGATAGCTTAGCGACTGCTCACTCCGCTCTGATAGATAGTTTAGCGGCTGCTCACCCTGCTCAGATAGATAGCTTAGCGACTGCTCACCTCGCTAAAGATAGATAGCTGAGCGGCTGCTCACTCCGCTCTGATAGATAGTTTAGCGGCTGCTCACCCTGCTCAGATAGATAGGGTTAGCGGCTGCTCATTCCGCTCAGATAGATAGGGGTAGTGGCTGCTCATTCCACTCAGATAGATAGCTTAGCGGCTGCTCACCCTGCTCAGATAGATAGCTTAGCGGCTGCTTACGCTGCTCAGATAGATAACTTAGCGGCTGCTCACCCCGCTAGAGATAGATAGCTTAGCGGCTGCTCACCCTGCTAAGATAATTAGCTGAGTGGTTATGGCTAATATCCATCCGGATGAGGTTTTAAGGGTCTCAATGGTTTGTATTGGTCACCATGGATACGGGTGTTTTCTGGGCAATTAAGCCAGGCTCGGGAGACATGAGCTTGCAGATTCAGAAAGTCACCTAATGTCACTGGGATGGGAAGCAGAGCTTCCATCGAGAGTCAGCGAGGCGTGCTGTCCTGTCACACCCCAGCACTGCCGGGGGGGGCGCGGGGGGGCTTTTCAGTCCAGCCAAGATGAGCATGATGCGCTGAGAGCAGAGGGTGGAAGCAGTACGTGGACACTATGGGAGTCCCGGGCTCTGTTTTGAGTCTGATATGCCTGGTACTGTTCACACATCAATTAAATGCCTTACGTAAGGGGCCCTGTGGGAAATGATTTATGCTGGTTGGTTGGTTTTCCTGCTGACTTTCTTTGGGTGTCCTGCGTGATAAAGCCGGGGGGTGGGGGTGGCATCCCTATTCCACGTCTGACAAATGGCATCTCTCTGTTTCAGTTCGAAATGCTGACGGGGTCGCTGCCTTTCCAAGGGAAAGACCGCAAGGAGACGATGGCGCTCATCCTGAAGTGAGTGGGTGGGAAAGCAAAGAAGCGGCAGGGGGCATACCGTAATAACTGTAATACACTCACCCTCGCCAGGGTTGTGCATTAATACATATTATTTGTCATTTTTGTTTCAGAGCTAAACTTGGAATGCCTCAATTTTTAAGCCCAGAAGTACAAAGTTTGCTACGGGCCCTTTTCAAAAGAAATCCCAGCAACAGGCTCGGTGAGTAGCCCACGTGACATCACTCAGGCCGGATAATTTTACACATGCTATTCCTGCTCTGTGAAAATGGGTGTTAACATCTGTTGTAAATGTTACTGTATTTCTAAATTAAATGAAGTGATTAAGGTAGTACAGGGATGAAAGTGGATATGTTGGAAATGACAGGGAGACAGTGGTTAAGCAGTGTTTTCAGTAGATGCAGTGTGTGTGTGTGTGTGTGTGTGTGTCTGTATGTGTCTGTCTGCATGTGTCTGTGTGTGTGCCTGCGTGTGTATGTGTCTGTGTGTGTCTGTGTGTGTCTGTATGTGTGTGTGTGTGTGTGTCTGTTTGCATGTGTGTTTGTGTGTCTGTGTGTCTGCATGTATGTGTGTGTGTCCGTGTCTGTCTGTGTCTGTGTGTGTTTGCATATGTGTCTGTGTGTGTGTCTGCGTGTGTGTGTGTGTCTGTGTGTCCGCGTGTGTGTTTGCATACTGTATGTGTCTGTGTGTGTGTCTGCGTGTGTGTGTGTGTCTGCATGTGTCTGCATTCGTGTGTTTGTGTCTGTGTGCCTGTTTCTGTGTGTGGGCGGGGTTATAATAACCCTCGGCAGGTCAGCTCCGCCCACCATGTGCGTGTGATTTCCCGAAAGGAGCGGGATCTGACGGTGTGGAGGAGATTAAGAGGCACCCATTCTTCACCTCAATTGACTGGAATGTGAGTATGGAGTGGAGCCCCCCTTCGATGCGGCACAGAGGGCGTGGCCTAACTGCCAGCCACCCGACAGGCAGGGATTTCACATGCATTTTAGATATACAAGTATAGAAATGTAAGAAAAAATGTTTTAATATTAAGCATTTAATTTAGATTCTGTTAGATACACAGATGTCCAGTAAGTGTTCTTTATGCACATTGGGCAGGAATGTGAGGTTGTATTTATCGGGGCAGAAACTGTACAGGAAGGAAGTGAAGCCTCCTTTCAAGCCAGCGGTGGGACGGCCAGAGGACACCTTCCACTTCGACCCCGAGTTCACTTCCCGCACGCCTACGGGTAAGACCCGCCCCGCCACTGTGGCACCTCCCACTCACGCTGGTTCAGAGACTGAGGTGCGTTCTCATCCCTAGTTCACAAAGAACAGCGGTTCGCTTGCTTACATTTCTAAACTGGGACATGGCCTTTAGGGACAGATTCAAAAGGAATGGCTGTGCTCAGGAATTAAATGGTAGTGTGTACAAGATTTCATTTATAAAAACTAAGTAGTAAAGATCTGAGAAACACTAAGGGGTTTTCAAAGTGCAATCATATTATATAAGCTGCAGTTTTATGTCATTTAATGCCATATTTGTCCTTAGACATAATTTCATTCAGGATTAACAGTTAATCTCAAAACTGCACCACAGGTTCTGGATCCATGTATTAATATGTCCGTTTGCCTTTTTTCATTTCAGTCTTTTTTTTGTTCTCGACTCTTTTTTTCCATGTATTTAAATCTGCTGCTTCTGGGAGTTGTAAAATGATTTAATTGTGGAGTCATGAATATATTTATACAGAAAGCTGGTACGGGGAGTGTTTTATGAAAAGGTGGGTGTCCTTTGTGCGGGCATCACACACATGGTTAGTGTAGCATTTGTGCGCGATTACAGCACCTGGTTATTAATGGCTTGTCTATTTAAAACAACATGAAGTTGGCAGCTCATTGGCAGTAATGTGATGCTGTCAATGCAGCTGATGCTGCCGTCTGTCCCTCAGGTCCTTCACCCCCCCGTCTGCAGCTGGGCGCCGCTAACGTCAAACCACATGCACAAATCACCCTGCTCCGTGTACAGAAATGGCTTATTCATACCAATCCTCCATTTGGTGCATTTTAATGCGAGTCAGGTTCCCGGCGGTCTGGGTGCGAGAGGAAGCAGCGAGGTTGGGAGCCTCACAGGCATGTAAGGGAGTGATGTCCAGGGAGCTGGGATTCTGCTCTCCTGTCAATCCCTGCTTGTCATTTTTTATTAATGGTGATTTTAACCATAAAGCTAATGTCAAGTAGTAGCTATTTCTGTAGGACCCACTCTCCTCTGTGTGCTCAGCGTTTAATTCCGCATGTTTACTAAGCACCAATGTATGGCTGGGACATGTGCCTGAGTGTGATCAAACAGACAGCAGTGACCTGAGTGACGTTCCCAGAACATTTGCCCAGCATGAGAGGCATGCCTGAGCAAACGGGTCAGGATTAATGCTGCACAGACAACTCTCTGATAAGAGCCTCACAGTCATGGAGTGGAAGAGTGCTGCTGTTCCTCACAGCAGCCACCAGATGGCAGCATGCTAAGTTTCCGCTCTCATGTCGCAGACTCACCGGGCGTGCCCCCCAGCGCCAACGCGCACCAGCTCTTCCGTGGATTCAGCTTTGTTGCTTCCAACGTGAGCCAGGAGCCCTCGCAGACTGAGCAGGGTGTCAACACTGTCAACCCAATAGTGCAGGTAGGCACCACCTCCTAAGCTGATTGGCCCCAGCATGCCTGACCCAGAGCACGGCTTCATGCAAATCGGGGTGACGCCAACCGTAAATGGTAATGGGCATCGATTAAGCAGCAGTGCTGTCACCCAACGCCATCCCCCTGAGGCCGAAGCGGGAGCCAGGCTGTCACTATGCAACTTACTTGTCCTTTTCCTCTATATTGTACAATATCGTACAGTTATATGCAACAGCATTTTACATAATGTGCAGAATATCAGAGGATACAGCAAAACCGAATGTTTATAGTCAGGCTGCTCTGAGGCGAATCGTCATCCTCGGATCTGAGGATTTCTAAGTCTCTGTTGTCCAAACAAGAAAATCACCACATTAAACTGAAACTGAATTAGCTATTCAAACAGCTGTCGTTTCTAATGGCCCTTGCTTTCTCTTTGTCGAATAGTTTATTTTAACTTCTTTCCATTTTTTTTCTTTGCAGCAATTACATGGAAACAACATCCATTTCACAGACGGTTATGAGATAAAGGAGGACGTTGGTGTTGGGGCGTACTCCGTCTGCAAACGCTGCATCCATAAAATCACCAGTGTCGAGTATGCCGTGAAAGTATGTCTTTTCTGAGAAGTGACTATCAGCTTGTAATTATAAAGTAGAAGTTTCTGTTCCACTGTTAAGCTCACAAAGCCACTGAAAAAAATGCAAAAACTACATTTTTAATTGGCCTGAAATCATTCCTATGGCTAATTGTCTGGAGAAGTTCGTGCTAATTCATGAGAACCCAGGGTCTGCTGGGAAACCCCGGACCATTGATGGGCTTGACCTTCTTGCAGATTATTGACCGTGCCAAGAAAGATCCATCAGAGGAGATCGAGATCCTGCTGAGATACGGGCAGCATCCTAACATCATCACGCTGAAAGATGTGCGTAAGATGCTGGACGGATAGCCAACTGCGAGGCGAGCAGGGTTTGGGGGTCTTTGAATGAAAGCACATTCATGACTGTGCACCTCTGCACCTCTTTGGTGGCTCAGGTGTATGACGACGGCAAGTATGTGTACCTGGTGATGGAGCTGATGAGGGGTGGCGAGCTACTGGACCGGATCCTCCGCCAGAAGTGCTTCTCAGAGCGAGAAGCCAGTGCCGTCCTCTGCACCATCACGAAGACGGTGGAGTACCTCCACTCGCAGGGGGTACGCGCGTGCACAAGGAGCTGGGAAGCACAGGGGCACCTTCTGGAAGCCAGGCCTCATCTTTTATACGTTGTTTGTGACCCTGAAGGTCGTCCATCGAGATTTAAAGCCCAGCAACATCCTCTACGTGGATGAGATTGGAGACCCTGAGTCCATCCGAATCAGCGACTTCGGCTTCGCTAAGCAGCTGCGGGCCGAGAACGGGCTTCTGATGACACCTTGCTACACCGCCAACTTCGTAGCCCCAGAGGTGCGAAGGCATCTCAGAATTTCTGCTGTGGACAAGTCAGCAAATAGCTATAAATGCTAGAAATGCCATGTATACTTTTTAACGCTCCTTCCACGGCTCATTCTGTAGCTTAATGTCATGGTTTGGGTTTGCCCGCCTGCTCTGTGCTCTGTCTGAATTATGTGGTTTTGTAGATGAGTTAAGCAAACACAAGGCACCTTTTGAAGTCAGAGGATACATACAAACGAAGATGCTTGTAACGACAGCCTCGCAAATAATCATTCTGAAAGTGGAAAGAAGCCAAACGGAAGCGTAACCTATTCACAAAAGCCGTTCGTTTACGTTTTCACTGGCTTTGGCTGTATTGTTCCCTCGTTCCTTCACACTTTGACAGTTTGGGGTACTTTAGTGAACTCTTAAGATACATCAAGGTTTCTAGATGAAAGATTATATAAGAATGAGAGCAGGGTAGCCGTCTCTCCATCCGGGGGGGGGGGCGTTATGCTGGTTTATGTAACTTTCCCCCCCATTATGGCTGTTTCCCCTTCTTCTTGATATGGGACTGTGTCAGTACACGCCCAAAAACCTGTACCCTGTAGGATTATCATCTTTCTGCTTATCGGTTCACGGTTCTTGTTGGTTGGGTCAAATCCCACACAGCTCCATCCCTGCACGGCCAGAGCCATGCCGCCTTTCCCACAGTACATCTCCTCTGCCGCAGGTTCTGAAGAGGCAGGGATATGATGCGGCCTGTGACATATGGAGCCTGGGCATACTGCTGTACACCATGCTGGCCGGGTGAGTCATCACATAGGCCTTCGCTGGAAACACCTGTAACTGTATTTTGCTCTTCCTTTTCTTCCTCCAAACCTGAACTAAAGACATTTCTCTTCCATGTACATTTCTCTACTGTCTCTTCCTGAGCACTGCTTTTTTTTTCTCCCTCCTGTAAGGCGACCTTGAGATTGTGAAAGGTGCTACATAAATGTAAACTATTATTATTATTATTACCATCTGACTACAGCTTACTGCACCACAAAACAGGCTCACACACTACAGCCCTCTGCTAAGTGATTATGTTGTTCTCTGTGATGTTTACGGGTCTATTATTCTATGACCTGTCTGCAGATAAGTCATATTTGGTAGTGGTTACAGGAGCTACGTCAGTCTGTACCACATTTGTTTTCTGCGAGATGATACTCAGAAGTAGAGTCTAGACAGCTGGTGGACAAACACTGTCCATCATCTAAGTGCTGTGCTGTGATGCTGGTGTTACTCTCCGGACATGGCTAACCCTGAACGCCCAGACAGACCAGACTGAGTCTGTGGTGAGTCTTAATTGTGATTTATTTCTGCCACGATGCACTGCAGCAGCCTTCTTTGCGAATCGCTTGCTTACGTTCATAGCCTTTGTCCTAGACGATGACCTGTTTACTCATACAGAGTTCACTGTTTAGTTAGCTTCATTCTCATTTGCCCTGGAACACCATTCCTAAACTAGAGGTGGTCTTGGCTTGGGACAGGTATCAGAAAACGGGCTAAAAAAAGGGCATAATATTGAGGCCCGTGGAGGAGAAATTACAGGGTAAGCCAGACCCAGGTTGGGGTCAATACAGTCTAACTGCAACCCATGCAGCAGTCATGCAGGGGGGCTGCTTGTGGTTTCAATCCCTCTGTAATCAAGGTTTGAAGCAAAACAAATCTTTTGTGGCTAAAAGAGGCTAGCAGGAACCGTTGGTGGAACCTTTTCGAAAAAAACATGTATACTTTGATTTTGAATCAGCACACTGACCTGGGAGTGATGTTTGCGTATGACATTATTACAGGAGCCCAATGAAACAACAGTGTAGATTACAATGTCAATCATATGTCATTAATATGGCCATGATGGCAGGGGTGCAATGGCTCAGAATTATAGGTCATGTAACAAGAAACTGGACACACTACCCAATCCTCACTCACCAAAGTCTTCCGGCGACTGCTGAGGTCACCTGGAACCTGGTAATGAACTGATTTGGTTTGGGTTAGATTAACAGGGGTTGCAACTACAAAGAAGTTAATATCAGTGAGCTATATGTGCGCTTTCTGGAGGTCAGGGAATGTCAAGTTAAATCAGCGACATCGCTTTAAATCAGCGACATCTCATGCATGCAGAGGTTCGGACACGATCTGACAGTTCTAACTAACCCCTTCTGACAGCTTCACCCCATTCGCCAACGGGCCAGACGACACCCCTGAGGAGATCCTGGCACGCATTGGCAGCGGGAAGTACGCCCTTTCGGGTGGCAACTGGGACACGGTGTCAGACGCAGCTAAGGTAACTCTTTGTGAGCCCACTCACAGTGAAATGTCATTGGGCAGAAACAGCGTACTGTCCTAATCACACTGCAAATTGGCACCAGATGTTTATACGCATAAATTGACTGTGTATTTTATCTTCATTCTCTGAATGATAATTTTTTACTGCTAGAGCCCTAAGTAGTTTAAAATATGAGACCTTACGTACAAGACATTGGTGAACCACAATATGAACTACAGTTCTGAAATCAATACATCAATTTGAGAAATTGTATATAAATGTAAGTAACAGATGAGGAGATTTAACTTGAAGATGAATCAAGACCAGCATTGGTTCAAAAATGCATGTTATCTACTGCAGGAGGTATTAACCTGGGTGTTGGGAGCTCTTTGGGGGTCATGATGTCATTCCAGGGTGGTCGCGAGAATCTTAAGAAAGAGTCACGAAACACTGAGGAAGTCATTAGCAAGCTAGCACTTTGGCACTATAGTACCACCTACTGGACAGACTATGCGTTCACATAAAAGTTGGCACGCTTTTTCTTTGCCATAATAAGGTAGGAGTCTAGGGCTGTAAACAATATGCTGACTTATCGTCCTATAAAATTTAAATGAAAAGAAAATGAGAAACTTCAGTATACTGTTGACAAGAAACATAGCTTGATGCACATATCAGCCTAAAATAATTTAATGCCCCGAAAAGCGCTGGACTCTCAAAACGGCTAAGAACCCCTGGTCCACTGTTATGATCTGTTATCTACACTAAATAGAAATAGAAAAGAGCATAGATGTCATGCACTTGTTCCTCTTCTTTGAGAAGGGCAGCTAAATAAAAACTATGATAGAGTGGTTCATTTGTGCAGCTGTCGAATGCCCCAGAGCCCATCCCAGGCAGCAGGGGGCGCTGTGGACACATCACAGAACACGCAGACACAACCGCACACTCTGCCCACAAAACGGCAAATCTTTGGGTGGTGGGAGGAAACTGGGACACATGCTGGAACCCCCCGCACCCATGTCGAGAACATGAACATGCAAAGTGCACACAGCAGCCGCCTCTCTCCCCAGGACATCGTGTCCCGGATGCTCCACGTGGACCCCCACCAGCGGCTGACGGCCCCCCAGGTGCTGAGACACCCCTGGGTGGTGAACCGAGAGCAGCTGTCCCAGAGTCAGCTCACCAGACAGGACGCGCAGCTTGTTAAGGTGAGGTGGCTGCCACAGGCCGTCAGCACAATCTGTGTCCCACAGCTTAGTGGTTAGGAATGTGGGCTTGCTGTAACTCAGAGTGCTTAGCCTGTAGTGTTTAAGGAAAACATCCATCTGTATAATAGTGGAAATTATTCTGGATAAAAAGTATTGGGCAAGTAACTTATTATAATCTAAAAATAAATGCAACAATCAGCAGACAGATCAGCTTTGGCTAAAATGCTAATCCTTCAGGGACATATAAATGCTTAATGCTCTAGTTAATGCAGATAAATCACCTGATGTGCTGTGTCACTGCACTGATCGAGTTTTCGCTGCACAAGCACTTCCTCTCGTCCATTACTTACTGTCGCCACCTAGTGACAGTTACTGCAAATATACCTGTAAGAGGTGAGTGTCCCCACTGGTCATTCTGTGTAAATGCTTTTGCTGCTAATGCCTGCTGTTTCCCAGGGAGCGATGGCTGCCACCTACCTGGCCTTGAACCGTACGCCACAGGCCCCCAAGCTGGAACCCGTGCTGTCCTCCAGTCTGGCCCAGAGGAGAGGCATGAAGAGGCTCACGTCAACACGCTTGTAGCCCTGCCCTCAACTCGCCATCACTCTGGACGTCAGGGCTCGTGAGTCTGGGGCCCATTCAGTGTCTTCTGCTGCGTTCAAGATAGACAAGAAACTCACAAAAAACACATAATAAAGTGAAGGATCCTTTGTGGGTCGGGGTGCAGAGCACAGCATCCTACCCAAGCTTCTGAGGGACATTTCTCACCAAAAACTGTAAGAACAGCCCCCATTCCCAGTCACACTGAAGAATTTGTAGCATTTACTAAAAGTAATATATCTGTGTGGCCCCCTAGTGGAGTAATGAGGGTTTGACCAGCAACACTGGAATGCGTAGTTATTGTCGTTAAACCGGGTGCAGAGGAGACTGTCTGAGGAACACGCGTGTGCTGTGTGTGTTGCAGGTAAAGCCACAACACGTCTCATTTATATGGTTCTAAGGAGCCTTAGGATTCTACAGTCCCTTCTGATATAACCTGCGGTATATGCTGCTTATGACAACAAATCAAAGTCCTTTTTCGTTAAAGCTAATCAAAGTAATATTATATAGCAGTGCTTCTCATCCTGGCCCTGTGGGACTCCCTGTTGGGCTACATTGTTCCTACATCCCATCTTTCACAAAAACATGAACCGTCTGGGGTCCCTGAGCATCAGCTTGAGAAGCAGTGACGTATAGAGTATAGTGTACAGTTACTGCATTAACTACTGAAATAAACGCAGACATTTTGCAAAACGTGTTAAGCACAGGAAGTCAGTGTCAGGGAGCGATCTGGAAAAGTCTGCATTAGGAATGGAAGAGTTTCCAAATTCTTCTCTTGCAGTTACTTTAAGGCAGAAATATCTAGGGTGGTAAGTGGCACGGTTTAGTTTGTCTGATTAGGAAGGCAGGCCCTTGCATGTTTGTAAGCAGATAGTCTTTATGGATGTACAGTGTATATACGCGTTCTTTGGTTTTGATGAAGTGCACTTTAAGGGTGATGTCGCCTGTTTTTCAGTTTCACTGCACATGCCCTGACAGCATATCCTGTCACCTTGGCCACAGGGGCGGAGATGTCAATGCATCAAGTTTGTTCTCTCCCCTGTCAGTAAAGATATTGACATTTAAAAAAACTGTTTTTCTTTTTACAAAGGAGAATGTGTCCTTTTGAAAAAGGAATTCACCATGGGTCCATTTAATTGTAAATCTAATTGCCCCATAATTTACACACAGAGACCTGAAACTGTTTTCAGTATGACACGAATGATTCAGTAAGCCTGTGGAATGTCAAGGGGTGCTGTGTGTGTGATTTTTTTTTTAAAGAAAGTGACCTTCCACCTCCATTGACTGATCTAAACCAACCCTTCAAACCCAACAGGTTGGGGGGGGGGAACAGAAAACAAATAAAGGAATTAAATGAGAAAATGCTAAAAGATGTGGCAATATAGATAAATGCACCATTTTGTGCATGTAAGTATATGAACTAATGCACATAGATTTGTAATGTTTCAGAGAAATATTTCAGAAAAAAATTGTGATTATTACAGAGGATATTGAGTTTCAGTTCAAAAAGCATTTACTTCCAAAGCTGTCTATCCAGGAGTAGTTTCAGGAAACACTTTTGTATTGATCTTATTTATTAAAATAAATTGTATTTTTTAAATGAGGCAACAGGACCGTGGTGAAAACCAACTGAAAACCAGCAACCCAAATGCCTGTGACAAGCTGCGCATCTGCTGTGATCTTTCACTGTTTCTCTTCTCTGACGGGAATTTCTTTCGTACATCTCAGTCCTTAGAGACGGCTCATGTTTGACGACTGTGCAGTCCTACTCTTATTATTGTGTTTGTCCAAGGATTTGTGCATGAGATTAGGTTATCTGGGACACTAAGCAGCGCCAGACTTTTTCACCTCTGCAGTACTGTCCCGTCTATTTGCCAGTTTAAGGATCGCCACGTTGGTCCCAGATACTGTGATGCATTCTAAATGATAAAACATTACTGGTTAATTGTTGACAGAAGTCAATGGAGTCACATGGGTTGAGGTGTGCTAAAGCCTTAAAAGTTTCCACTTGAAGTCTGTAAAGCTTTATAAATGCACTTGCAATAAGGATGTCCAAAATGATGTCTATTCCTCCCAATAAGGAGCTTGAAAACAATGTCTGTTCCTCCTAAAAAGGATGAAGCAATGTCTGCTGCACACAGCTCATATGAGTCAATCTTTTGCTGTATTATTTAGTTACGTTTGTCATCCTGTAGTTTTAATGGATCTGCATCTATGTAGTGGTGTAAGAAACATGGTTCCTTTTCACCGAGTCTCACAAACTCCACAATTTTATATAAAAAATTAATAAGTCTGACATTAATAGGAGCTCAGATACAACACAGCACTGTGAAAATCAGAGCAGAGATTTTTCTATTTTTCGAATGCAGAAGACCTAGTCTGTCCTCGAGCTGTCACAACAGACCACCTCCAGCAGGGGGCTCCTCGGAGCAGCACTGGCATTTTCGTGGGTGCCACCGTAGGTGTCATGTACCTCTCCGCACGCTGGCCGCGACCTGCATCTGGGAGTCTGCAAACCACTGCAGAGCAACATATCCTGACAAGACAGCGCCCTTCCACTGAACACTCGCAGTTCCCATGTCGATGCGAAGCTATGGCAACGCTCCCCCATCATCCCGGCGTTACGCACTGCCATTCGTAAAAAGAAACTTTACGTGGTTGTCGGCCTGTAAATGTTGAATCTGCTTTGTACTGGTTTGGCATGCCAAATGCGTTTATAAATAAATAAGTGAATAAAACTGCAGAACTTGTGTCTACACACGTGTTACGCTACGCCACGAGACACTGTACTTATCACATTTCAGTAGCGGTGTGGATCGCCTGCAATAAGGACTGTGGCGCCATTTGTTAGCGATTGTTTGGAAACAATAACATATGGTGGATTGCGTGGACCTGACAGCTCTAACAGGCGTAATGGAGAGTGTAATTATATGGTTATCTGATTAGGGGAGCCCCTGCTTTAATTAAAATGTTTGCAACCTTCTGAGTGCACAACATAAAATACATAGAAAATAAACATCAACGTGACCACCTAGTGTGAAAAGCAACAGATTAATATAATTTGTATATGTAGTTACCATATGGAGGTTATATATATATATATATATATATTCATTTAAATTTTGAAAATAACAGACATATTTGCTAGTAAATTCACAGATCAGAAACAGGCAGGCATCAGAACCTAATGACAATCCATGCATGGTTATTATAATTAATTATTCAATTGGCAAACAAGGCATGCCAGCGGCTGCAGGTTTTTGAAATAATTAAAAAGGCCATATTAACTGGAATACGGGGATTGTGGTTGGGGTTTTAGACATGAGGTATAGGAGATTTCCCCGTTGGATTTGTAAAAGTAAACTAGATATTTTAGGGGGGAAAAAGCTACTTCCCAAAATTCCAGAAAAGACAATTTGAGGCTAAGACCTTCTGAGAGAAACAACAAATGTTAGATGTCAGTTTTAGTATGAAAGCAATGAATGGAAATATAATGTAACGCATAATTTTCAGCAAATGTTATTAGGGAAAAATTACTTTATTATTCAGAGACTGGATAAGGAGTTCGCTACAGGATCAGCGAATTTAACCGGAATTAATGTTTTGATATATCAAAACATTGCCTGTGATTTTCATGTTAATAATATGCCAAGGCAAACAGAGATTGTATGTACTGTTGAAGGAGACCGCCTTCAATCCATTAAGAAAAGTAGATAGAAGGTCATTTGTGACGGTGGTTCACCACGAGGGATAAAGATTGGTAGATTAATTTTTAAACACTTTGCTGGTATATGACGTTTTAAACTGTTACCCGTATACAAGTCAGAGAATATATCATATATCCATGTAGCAATATAATGCATCTGAGCCCATCGTATAATTATTATTAGAGATGGCAATTTCGAATCATCAAAACAATTTCGAAACAATGTTTCGAAACGGTTCGAAAAGTTTCGAAACTAGTTCTGCACAGCCTCTTGCCAAAAATCGGAACTGCAGCTATATAGCAAATACGGCAGAATAAAAACATATTGCTGCAAGTTTCGAATGCCACGAAGCTCGAACTGTCAAAAATGTGCATAATACAATGTAATTTCTTTTTGATTATTTTTATATTCTGTCATAGGTATCCTATATCTGCAATTAGCGTGTGATAACTTTTTGCCAACCGTAATTCAACTATAGTACGAATCATAAAAACGCTAGATTATTAATGTCTCTTGTGTATGGTCACGAAACCTCTCTTGCACTAATACCAGAAACAGAGAAGAGGATGTTAGCAATATTATGAACAATTAAGTCTGCACGTCCACTTCCGTGGCTTTGATAATGGAGCATAAAATTTAGCCACCGGCTCATTCCACCATGCTGTGCTAAAAATGCTACGGGGGATTATCGCTGCCCGAAGCCGTCAGACAACTGGTGACCGACATCACACTTTCTCCAGACGTTACACTCCCCATCCATAGCCATAATACAGTACGTCAGGAAGCATCCTCTCTTGTTATAATACAATCCGGTGCTTTGTGTTCTAACAGCACATAATTAACTTTAAATATTCACGTTTAGTCTCACATTCTGCCCCTCAAGATTTTACATCCATTTGTGTACTATATATATGTACTTTTAAATCTGCTGCAGTATGTTTACTTTGCTCGCACCATGTGTATACAGTCTTTGTACCTTGTCTGGCATTATCTGCATGTTTGTATGCACCAGAATTTCCCCCAGTCAATACAGTCAATCAAAACCTAAATTGGGTCTTATATCATTTACAGATTATTTGTTCCCATGGTTGTGTATTGTTAAAACATAATTTCTGTATTTACATACCATCCGAGTATTGAGTGTGCATAGTACAGTAATTATCTACTGAGGTTAGAATACATCTAGGTATTTGTGTATGTTGAGCAGGTTATAGGAATGGTTTAGTTTTAATTAATTTGTATAGAATAGAACAGAGCCAAAGCTCAGTTTCAGACAGTCTTTGTCTATGTTAGCAGTGTTAATATATGTATATATAATCTATGTGTTTATGCGTACTCTAGCTTTTTGATTTATGTTTCTAACTGAATCTAAGCAAAACCTTGATATTGCACCTACAACTATATGTCCCTCACTATACTTATGCCTAAATCACACTAACTGCTAACCTGTTTCACTAATACAATTGGATTTCAAATAATAATAATCGCCAAAGTACTCGCTCAAACCAAGGCCACAAACACGCAACACGCACCAATTTTTTTCCAGGGCTTTTTATAGGTTTTTTCTCTCGCCGTGAAAAATGACACGGCGGTCATGTGACTGATGTTTCGAAACATTTCGTAAGCGCCGTATCGAGACCGGAAGTTTCGGACGTCTTCGGAACGGATCGATCCTGGGTGCCGAAATTGCCATCTCTAATTATTATATAATAAGATAGCTGTTGAAAGATGTGTGATTCCCACATTAATCGCTAATATAAGGGGAAGTTACAGGCCCCGAAATAAATGTGCCATATTTCTGTCTAATACTGGTCAAAGGCATTTCAAAAGCAATTAAAAATGGCTCCAGCTTGACTGGCTATTAAGAAAAAACATCAGACCGAGCATAATTGACAGGTTCCACATGTTACAAAGCAGTCTGCATTTAGTCGGATTGCTGGTGTGTCATGACCCAGTTATAAGCTATTTCAAAATACACCGCATTATACATCGCATTACATTAAAACAAAAGTGAATTGTGTAATGTACTATAATCATTCAGTCATCTTAAATAATCGACTGTATCCACGTATTAACGTAAAAGAAAACGTTTTCATTAAATTTTACAAATATCTCCAGCTGTCAGCCGCCGACGTAACGTGGCCTGTGACTTTGTGACAGTGTCGTAAAACCCTGACGTAGGATGCTGTCGTCAGTCGCCTTACCTAAACGACCTAGCTTGGCTTGGCTAGGCTAGCGGACACAAGTGGCGTTTTCCCTATTTGGTACGCGATTGCTGCTGTTTAACCTTCACGGTAGACTCGATGGCGGGCACTTTGGTTCGTAAAGCTGTAGACCAGCTAAAAAGCAAGGAGTTCAGGGAGTACTTGATGAGGTACGTGCATCTTGGGCGCTTATGGTTGGTAAATCCTTAGCTTTGTTGTGCATAATGATGTTAATAATAAAGTGTCATCCGCGACTCGCGTGAAACTCAAGATGACAGTGCCGACCTTCGGCGGTTTGTCGGTCCCAAGCTCCGCTGCATGATCCTCTTTGCCGGCATCCTCATTGAATAATATCAATAGTAATAACAATAATAAAGAATATGATGCTACTTTGTATTTAAAGTGTTTAATGAATTACCAGGGATGTTTGGTTCCTCTCTACACATTATAACGAGGTGCAAAATGGCTATTAAATATCCAGTATATAAAATGAAATGCGTGCGCGTTTTATGTAATGTAGGTGAATTTTGCAGCGTTTATTTTGTGAACCGAATCAGAGCCGTAATGCTGACGGACCAGAGGCCCGGCGCTTCCGGCTGTTAAGTGACAAAATTAACACCGTATTCGTAATTTATACATTTAAAAATCCAACACGCAAACTCCCCTCCGTGGTTACCTTTAATGCATAAGGAGCTTAAACTGTTCGCTATAAGTAACCATAAATTCACTGCTTACATTTTGCTCCCATCATTGCAAAAGAGTTGCTTGTGATTACAAAATTATAGCACTGCTGGTGATTGCAAAAATATGCTTATAACCTTTGTTTTTTTGCCTGTTGGATGCTGCTCTTTCTGTGATCTAAATGTACCTGTTGGGAAAAACTTCCAACAAAAGCACGGTAAGAGTCACATATTGTTTTTTATTGTAAATATTATTTTATCACTACTGTGTACACATTTTCCCACTGGAGCTGTAATCTCAGATTAATACGCTGCCCCGATCCTTTCTGTAAGAATCCTCTGGGATTATTTTAAATGGTTCCTTGACTGCATGTTAGATCAACTCTGAGTTTGTGTTTCATTTCAGCACTTCTGGGGTCCGGTGGCAAACTGGGGTCTTCCTATAGCAGCGATTAGTGATATGAAGAAGAGCCCTGAGATCATCAGTGGCCGGATGACCTTCGGTAAGAGGCAGAGGGTCCCCTCCTGTGTGTGAGTGTGTCCCTGGGGTCGCACGGGACCCTTGAGAACGTTTTAAGGCTGTTGCTGTGAGCTGTAGCAGTGACGCCTCCCTGCTTCTCTCCAGCTTCTGACACCCCTTCAGCCTGACCCCAGCCTGATTTCTGTCTCCCCAGCCCTTACCTGCTACTCCCTCCTCTTCATGCGATTTGCTTACAAGGTTCAGCCAAGGAACTGGCTCCTGTTCGCCTGTCACCTAACCAACGAGGCGGCGCAGCTGATCCAGGGCAGCCGGCTCATCAAATACAAGTAGGTTGACCCTGGGGCCTGTAATCGGCTCACTGTTCATGTGGGGGCCCCCTCAGGATAGCCCCGCTGCACTCCTACTGCACTGGATACTGGCTGGGCCAGTTTGTCACAGTGAAAGAGCTCACCTAAACTGGCGTTGCGATTTATGTTTCGTGAGCTCTGCAGCTTCACCTGCAGCTTTCTGTTGGGTTTTTAACCTCTGCACTCACCCAGAAAGATGTTCAGGACTGTATGTCAAGCCCACAATGCTTTGACTTCCTCCTGCTGAGCTGGGTAGACCAGTGACCCATTTTGTTTGGCTATTATACAGTGAAGAGTTGAGTCCACAGTTCATGCCCAGTAGAAGTTATTCAGCAGTTCTGAATGATTTTCGGAAGCCTGTTTGGTCTTTAGGGGGAGCCAGTATGCAGTCAACCAGCTCGTCCTGGCACTGATAGGGTTATCCAGATGGGGCAGCTTCCTCAGATGATGCATTATGGGAGTTTCAGGTCGGTCTGTTGTAGTTAGCACAGGATAAATGTCACAATTCCATGGCTAAGAAAAAAAAATGTGGGCCTATTAATGTTTCTGATAACTGAAGCTGATTTGATTATCATGCTTTCTGTGCTTTTTATGGGATTGGTATCGGCACTGTATGTAACTGATCCACATGCAATACTTACTTATTTAGTTTTCGGCAGTCTATAAAAAGATAGCTCCTATTTCTTGTTAAATCGATTTGTACAATCAGTTGCATGACAGCTCTTTCCCATTTCAATGTGTTTTTAGTGGCATTCAAGCTGAACGCTAATACTGCCACTCAATTTCTTTGCCACTCAGTGGGTGTGAAATGCTAAATTCACATACAGTAAAATCCACTTATAACAGACTTCAAGGGACCTGGCAAAACAGTCCGTTATTATCCGGAGTTGCTGTATGCCTAGAACACAACTACAGGACTTCAGGTAATCCAGCTTTACCTGACCAGATGCGTGACTATTAATAATCCCGACTCCATATCTGTGCTGGATATCACCGGCACGCCACGCACCTTGTAGGCAGAGCCTGCATGTCTGTTATAGCCGAACAAAACTACAGCTAAAAGCGGCCCTGGGGACCAAATCGTTTGTTCGTTATAAGCTCCACCACTGTCTTCCAATTTCATGAGGCACTGTCCACTACATTGATGGCCATCTCTGGCATTAGAAAGGCGCTTCTCCTCTCTATCTGGCTGGTTTTTGTTTGCTCCCAGTGTGTCCTGCTTCACATTTTTCTTGTGTACTGTTGTCTTACAAATTGTGAGCCTGGAAGCAACTTGCCTCTCAGTGTAGCCTTCTGCCAGCACAACCAGGATTAAACCATGATTTAACTCCATAAAACTCTGGAGTGGTCTCTTAATTTCTTCCAGAGCTGTATACCTGTTGATTGATATTGCAGGCATCATTAGTCCACTGTACCTTCCGGTTGAAGAAGGTCCACATATTCAGGGGTGCACATAATTGGTACGCAAGTATGCATTAACCTTTAAGAACAATACGTGCGACAATCAATTGTTTGTAAAAGCGCAATTCGTACTTATTTTATTTGCATTTGTGCTGCTATGACAAGAAAATACCTTGCATTTTAATCCCTGTAGTTAGCATATAAAGATTTAAATGTATTTTGTTTTCATAGCAGCGCAAATGCACATAAAATAATTACGCATTTGTGCTTTTACAAACAATCTGTTGTCGCATGTTTTGTTCTTAAAGGTGAATGTGTACTTCTGTACCAGTTACGTGCACCCATGCACATATTCTCTGCCAACTTCCTTGTCAGTCTCCGTTACTGGAAAGTCTTGCTTTGTTTATAGATACCTGCAGGATTGGTTTTATAGCTGTCTGCTAGGTAAAATAGTCAATGTTTCTGATACGGATTTGGCAGCAAATGTTCTAATCTTTGCTCTGTAGGAGTGACATTGCTGCTGGCTCTGTTGGTGTGATACTAGGATCCGTTTTATTTGACTAGCATTGGAAAAACCAGCTTTTTTCCCAGTGTTGTCCTACCTTGGTGTCTCAGGTGTCTTTTATAGGTTTATGTTCTTCATGAATGGTTTTGCTCTTCCTTTTCAGAATGGAGAAGAAGAGTGCCTAGTGTATTTAGGCATGCTTTCTTCAGATGGATGAATGGCTGCAGAATGAAGATGAGGCATTTATGTGTGTTTGATAGCACCTTTGAACATGGCCTCGTGGATGAAATCTGTACAAACTTGGAAAGTGTTTCTGTTACAAAGGTACCAAATGGGTGAGGACTCTGAGTGTGTCTAATTATGGGCATCCATTAAAGGTTGTTACTGAATCTGTGATCTGTGTTTATATTTGGGTATGTTTGAGTATTCATCTGTGGATTATAAAATGTATTATTGATAATTCTTATTTTGAAATGAACGCTCATGCAGTACACAGACAGGGTCACGAGGCTAAGTTACTGTTCAACAAAAAATGGGCAGAACTACTGATCTGCTGTTATTGTTGGTGCAAGATGTGGAGGTTCCAACATGTCAGAAACAGCCACGCTTCTGGGATTTTCACATACTACAGTGCCTAGAGCTTACAGAGGATGGTGTGATGGACAAAAAACATCTGGTCAGGGGCATTTCGTTGT